AGTACTGTAGTTTTATTGCAGAGGTCATTCACTTTCTTGATTAGTTTAATTCATAATTATTTCATTTTTCTTGATGCAACTGTGAAAAATTTTCCCTGGTTCTTTCCCTAGTTTCTCTCTCTTTGTGAGTTTATTATTGACATACTCAAATACTATTGTTTTTTGAGAGTCAAATTTGTATCCTGCTCTGCCACTGAATTTGGTTAATTCCAGAAATCTTTTGATTGAATTTTGAGAGTCTTCCTTGTACAGGATCAAGTTATCTGCAAATAATAGTAACTTAAATTATTCCTTTCTATTCATATGATTTTATTTCTTTCTCTTGCCTGATGATTCTGGCTAATATTTTGAGAAATATATTGAACAGGGGTCATGATAGTGGACACGTATCTTGTTCCTGATTGTAGAAGAAAAGCTTTCATCAAGACCTGTACTTTTCTGACTTAATAGTGTTTTATTACATGTTTAATTTGATATTGGATTATTAAAAATTTTATATCTTCTTGGTTCAGCTTTGGTAATTCATATGTATCTAGGAATTTATTCATTTCTTCTAAACTTTCCATTTTATTAGAGTAGAAATTTTCAAAGTAATTGCCAATGATAATATGCATTTTGCCAGGATCAATTTCGATTTTAGATTTTTCATTTCCATTTGTATGAATTTAAGTCTTTTCTTTCCTTACTTTGGTTGGATTAGCTAAGGGTTTTTGTTTTGTTTATTCTTTCAAAAGACTAGCTCTTCAATTCATTGCTTTTTTGGTCTTAATTTCATTAATTTCTGCTGTGATCTTTATAATTTCTTTCCTTATCTTATCTTTGGATTTGGGCTGTTTTTTAGGACTTTGAGGTGTATCATTAGGTTCTTTAATTTGTGCTAATTCTGTGTTTCTAATGGGTATGCCCCGCTATAAACTTCCTTCTTAGGACTGCTTTTGCTGAGTATCAGGTCCTGACCTAGATCCCCAATCTCACAAACAAGTGTACAGCAGAGATTTAAATACAATGAGACAAGTGATAGGATTCTAGGGCTCCAGGAGGGTCAAAACCCTTTAGTTGAGTTCCAACAACTAAGACAAATACTTCTCTGGACTGCCCACTTTTGTTTATTAGGTCTAACAGCGGGGGCAGGGAAACTGAGGAAAGCACTGGCAATGAGCAGGACCTTGGGAGTTACTTCAAGGACATCTTCAAGTAATGAATCATGTCAATTTAGTAGAACTGTCTTGTCATGAAAACATGGTAGGAGTGAGACTGTAGGAGTAATTTCTGCTGCTACAATCTTTATCTATTTAATTGATGTTTGAGCCAAGTGTCCGCAGCTGTGGCCTTATCTTGCCCTTCGAGGTATCTCCGGCCTCACAGGCTGATACAGGCCTCAGCCAGGACCACTGATTCACAGAGGTTCACTTACTATGAATCAGCTCCTGTTATCAGGCTAGGGGCCGAGGCCTAGGACACACTCACAGATAAACATAGAAAACCAATTATTTAATTTTAAATCCTGCTCAGAGCTGCTTCATAGTGGTCTCCAACAACTAAGTCCCACTGGTTCTGGCATGTTATACTAGCATTATTGTCTAATTCTAAGAACTGCCTAATTTCTTCCTAATTTTCTCTGAGACTTATGATTACTCAATAGAGTATTATTTAGTTTCCCATTTGCATTAATGTCTCTTGTTTTTTTGTCATTGACTTAAAATTCAGTGCACTATGATCTGATAATATTCTAAACTTTTTCTGGGTTCATATTGAATCATTAAAATTTTAATATATGAATTTCTTTTTGAATTAAATGTTTCTTGTATACCACTTATTATTGGGTTTTCTTTCTTTATCCACTTTACTATTCTATATCCTTAGATTGAGGAGTGGAAATCATTCACATTGAGAGTTATTACTGATAAACACCGACTTATTACTGTCATTGCATTATTTTTCTTTTGCTGATTTCCTTATTTATTTCCTTTTTCTTAGTGACACATCTCACCAGACATATTAATTCTTTCTCACTTATTTCATTGTTGGCTTTACTACCTCTTTCTATGATATACTTGAGAATTTCTGTTTGGTGGTCATTAAGTTCTTGATGTGCTTCTTGTCATGGAAATAGCTTATTTCCATGGTAGTATCAATTCTGATGCAATTTTCTAGGATACATAAGTTGGAGTCAGAATTTACCTTTTAATTGTTGAAATACTTTACTTCAAACCTTCCTGGTTTTTATATAGTTTTGTTGAGAAGTCTGCTTTAATTTTAATCGGTTTAACTTTATATGTAATTCATTGTCTTTCTGTAATAGCATTTAAAATTTTTATCCCTGTGATGGACCTCTGAAACTTTGAGTGTAATGTAGCCTAGAGTAATTCTCTATTTGTTATGGTCATTTGTATTGTACACATCTCACTTGTCTATGTATTTCTTTTCCTATATTTGGAAAGTTTTCTGCCATTCTTTCTGTGAGCAGGTATTTTATATCATTTTTGCCATTTTATTTTTCACTTATTCTGATTCTCTTAGTCTTCATTACATCATTGAGAAGATGTTTTTTTTTTTTTTTTTTTTTTGTTTGTTTGTTTGTTTTTTTCCTTTTTATCAGTACCGGGGATCGAACCCACGACTGCCTGCTTGCAAGGCAGGCGCTTATGCTGCTGAGCTAAATCCCCAGTCCTTGACCCATTTTTTTCTTAACCACAAGCCTTTTGGTTGATGCCACCCATACCAGGGTACACCTTCCTATAATAGACACTACTAAACCCATCAGTGGACTGATTGTCACACCATTACTCCATTTTGACATACCTAGATCTAGTCACCTTCTGAAAGCCTCATCTATGAGCTCATGATTTTTTCTTTTTAGGTGAGAGGGACATCAAAATATAAGTCCTAACATTTCACTCCTGGCCTTCAAAATACTCATGCATATCCCTTCATGTAAAAGGCATTTTATTATCTCTAAGAGTTGCCAAAATCTTTACGGTTTTAACACTGCTGAAAAGTTCAAGTTCAAAGACTACGCTGAGATTTAAGGGAAACTATTAGCTGTGAGCATAATTAAATACTTTGCTTTGAGAAGACTTCAGAGCACCTGTTCTAGAATGGTGGTAGCCTATAGGTGTCGTTTCTTGGGACTGAATTCACAGCATTCAGCAATTCAGGCACAAAAGTTTTAAATCATTCTGGCATTTCGTCTTGTTGGGGACCACAAATCATAAATTAAAGATAGAATCTGTCTGAGGCCCATGCTTGCCCTGCCTTGTGGGCTGGCTTGGAATGCGAAAACTCCCATTTTCTCCCAGTGACCACTGAGATCTTGATGGTTAGTGACCCTGTGGTGCTTACAGGGCAGGATAAGACCTGCTGAGGAAAAAACAGGGATGGCTAATGAGGGAAAGGATCTTACCTGTTTCTTTAGGGATGTTAAACTTGTTCATGCCACTGCTACTTCCATGCTATTCTGGGAAAAATCACCCTCCCCCTTCCCTTGCACTTTTCACTGGAAAAATAAAAGTGGGCCAGCTGAAAAGGTCTTTTTTTCTTTGTCCATCCTGAGGCACTGACTTTCCATCCCCCCTTTTATGCATTACTAAATTTGTTTGTTTTTTCTTCATCTTTCACTGTTTCATACAGGCAGTTGGAGATCTTCGCCAAGTGCCCAGCCACCACATCCTGTCTTGTGTGGCCTGTAGGGTCCTGAAGGGGTGGTGGGAGATTACGAAAGACAAGACACATAATAAAAGGAAAGCTGGGACTGGGTGGGACATAACTTCTCTGGAGAGGCAACAAAAACCCAGAGTAGTCAGTCTGTGTCTTTATTTAAACACAATAAAAAGAGGGAAGTGTGTGATGGGGTCCAGAGTGCAAGGTCTTAGTGTTTTGCTGAGAACATGGAAAGCAAGACAGTTTAAGAGGTATCTGTGCTATAGTTAACAGCGAGAAACACCAAGGCCAGACACCTGCTGATATGCAACTGAGCTACAGGTCAACTTTGCTCCATTACCAACAACTTGTTCATATGGCTTCCCTCTGGTGGTCCATGTTCTCAGAGTTGGCCTTGCAACTAGCTCCAAATGTGTGGTCAATCTCCAGCTCAGTTGCTGTCCACACCCGGCATTTGCTAGTTTCTCAGCATAGATCTGCTAAAACCCCCAATAGTAGCCATGACAGTGACATGTGACAATGAAACTCCCAACCTACTAAATGTCTAGTATGTACTGATGTTCTGTAAAATCAAAGAATGAATTTTAGGAACAATGGAAGTTAAGAGCAGAGTATGTTTACTGAGAGAAAGCAAGCTTCTGTCAGGGAGAGAGACAGAAGGGGTCCCAAGTGGGCTGCCAAAGACTGTCCTTTCCGGGGACTTCTATAGAGTAAAACCATGAGGTGAGATGGATACAAGGTAGGGAAAACACAGAAACTTGCAAAGTGGGCATAAGGTGGGACTGAACTGTAGTCAACTAGTAAGATTAATTGCTCAGGTAAAATTGATTAAATAGGGTACAAATAGGGAAAGCAAGTCATATAGTAAAGGGGGCATGCTTAAATAACAGTGACTTTCTGTAGAGGATTGGGAAGGTGACTCCTGGCTTCCTCAGGGTGATAGGGAACTATTTAGACTACCAGTCCTTAGCATGTGGGTGTATTTGCTTTATCTTTGTCTTGAGATCTAGCCTATAGGGGGAGGCCTCTGTGAGCATTTACTGCCATAGGTGCTATCCTTATCTGGCATGTCCATTCCAGAACTTTTACAATTGTAAGCTTCATTGTGTCTAAGATGTATAACAGTACCAATCATACACAGCAGTTCTGAATTTCATGTTTGTGATACAGCGATGGATACACACAAATATAGCAATCCCCATGGAAGAAAAAATTACTATGAGGTTTATGGTTTTGGTGAACAGTGTTCTGTGTTTGACTTTGTCAAATGGAAGGACAATTTTGGAATAGAAACAATGATGAAATGCAATTTGAACTTATGTAATCATACAGGCAGTGAGTAAAACTAATACAGGCTTTTATTGCACCTTATTAAAGTTTTAATAAAGTACTGAACCACATCAGCAGGTTTTTCATTATTTACTTTGAGACAAAGTCCCATTAAGTTGTCCAGGCTGGCTTCAATTCTGTTTCAGGTTTGCTTTTTAAGTGGGTTGGATGACTTGTATGATCTAAAATTAAAAACAAGATTTTTGATTCTAAGATGGTAGCAAATACATGTGCTCAGGATAAAAGGTCTTCTATTTATTTATTTATTTGGTCTTTTTCATTTTTGTTGGTACTGGGGATCGAACTCACAACCGCCTGCTTGCAAGGCAGGTGCTTATGCCGCTGAGCTAAATCCCCAGCTCCAGGTTTTCTATTTTTACTATCTGATTTCTGCCTGGACCAGCAAGCAGTATGTACTATGCAACTTGCTGATTACAGTAAGGAACAGAAGTGAACTACAATAAAATAAACTTGTTCAAGGATGTAAACATATAGTACTCTACAATGCAGTTGATTTTATGAATTACATGAGATGTTCTGTATTTCATAATAAAGTAGACAAAATATTTGATATGATATTGTCCACCAGATGGCTAATTTAACTGTCTTAGTATATAATTAGATTATGGTAAGGTATACTGTTCACATTAGATATTTAATGTATTTGTCACATTTTCACTTTAGGATGGACTCATCAGAATGTAACTCTATGGGAAACTGAGCAGCCACTGTGTTCATAGAGAAAACAATCCAGAATATTTTACAAAATACTTCCATGTTAAGCAGTAAAAAGGTAAAAACAAGGCAAAGATACCAGAGATGGGCTCAGAGACTGCACAAATCTTTATGTGATCGAAGGTATATATATCACTTCTTTCCAAAGACAGATAGGGTACTGCTGATGACCAAAAGGATATTGTATAAATCTATCTCTAAAGTTGCAAACCAAGACACAATCTTACTCATAAAAATAAGTCAATTATGTTTTTTACTAAGCTGATTTGAGAATCCAGGGTGAAAGATTAGTTTCCAATGACTGAATGTTATTCACAGTATCAAGGAATAAAGAATTTTGTTTCATAATGATAAACAGAAATCATTTTTCCCAAATTTCAAGACTGCCAAAAATTCCTTTGAGAATGTTCTGTCATACCATCATTTATAGTTTGTGGAGAGATTAATTACTACAATTCATTATATCATATTGTTTGCGAAAAGATATGATCCTGTTGCTCTGTGGTTGGTGGACTCACAGATGTATATTTTTGGTATTATGACCACCAAAATAAATCATGGCAATGCAAACATGAAAAGTAAAATTTTATACATATTATAATGGCTCTTGTATTAGAGAAAAAAAACCAGACAAAATTATGTACTGCATATAATCTGTAATTATCTTGGGATACATACAGATAGCTTCTCAGGATAAGGAAAACAAAGTATTTGCCAATCTACAAGTTCTCGAAAACAGTTAAACTATGTAAAACAAATGTACAAATTTATTTTGAAAATACACATTATAATTACAAATAAATAACACCCTGTTAAAAATATCTTTGTTAGAAAAATGGCTAAGTAGACAATATGCATCAAAAGTTTAAATACATAGAAGCTATTGGTAAAACTACAATGATTAGAAATACATTTCAATTTACCTGTACAGCTAACATGGTACAAAATAAAGAATGATTTATCAGTTATTTTTCTGAAAAGATAGTATTAAACTCCATACTATTGCTTATAAGAACACGCAGAATTATGTCAACACATTTATTATTAAAAATGATCTTAGAAATATGTAATCCAGACATATACATTAAAAGGGAATTTACTATATTTATATTTTAGGCTATCTCCAGTTGTGTATTTGCTGGAAAAATAATTCATAACCCATTTACATATAACTTAATTGTATAGGTTTGCTCTACATGAGAAATGTTCAAAGTCTTTTAAAATATAAGCTATAATTGAGAAGTTTGTATGTTCACAGGGTTTTGACACAATATGCATTTCATGTGTAAGACAAATAAACAATTATGCATACCTCTTACATTAACTGTTACCACAAATCTATGTTCATTTGTAATGAGTAACAGCAAAATGGTTATAGAGGTGCTCTCACAAAATACATGTTAATACAGTTTCTTCACTATGCAATTCCATGTTTGCATGAAAAGTCATGTAAAAAAGATTTCTCACATACTGTTATTTATACTGATGCTCCTTGTGTTTGTGCATTTTTTGACAATATGGAATCACAAAATACTTCCTCACATTATGAACCTAATTTCTCTTTAGTGAGAGTTCTTCCCATATTTCAAGTGGCAAAAAATGGAAGGGCTCCCACACTGTTCACTTATGTTCAGATTCTCCTCCCTCAGGTGAATCCTTTCAGATGCAATTCGTTTTTGTTTTTGTTTTTTGGTACCAGGAATTGAACTCAGGACCTTGAGCTTGCCAGGCAGGTGCTGTGCCATTGAGCTATATCCCTGGCCCTCACATGCAATTTGAATACACAGAAAAAAATAAAAACCTTTCCCACATTGCTGACTTATTTTCAGAGTCTACTATACGTATTTTCATATGTAATGATACCTGGTGGTACTGAAAGACTTTATATTGGTTACAAGAAAGGGTTTGCCTGTACTTTCAGTCTTTTAAGGTCAGTGCAACGACTTTGTATATTTAGGTCAACTTCTTTTTTACTTTTACAATGTGTTGGAATATATGAAAGCTTATATACATAGGCTTCCTCATCAATGTCATTTCTTTCATGTATTTGACAGTACCCCTGTGTACTGAATGCACTGCCATATTGTTACATACATAACATTTCCACCCAGCATGAGGCCTTCATTTATTTGACAATTTCCATGTGTATTGAAAGCTTTTCCGCATTGGTTACTTACGTAGGGATTCAATCTAATGTGAGTTCTTTCATGTTTCTGATAAGTGCAGCGTCTGCTGAAAGCTTTCCCACACTGTTTACATACATAAGGTTTCTCTCCAGTGTGAGTTCTTTCATGTATTTGACAATTACCATGTGTTCTGAAAGCTTTCCCACATTGCTTACATATGTAGGGTTTCTCCCCAGTGTGAGTTCTTTCATGTATCTGACAATTACCAAGTGTGCTGAAAGCTTTTCCACATTGCTTACATGCATAAGGCTTCTCTCCAGTGTGAAGTTTTTCATGTTTTTGACAATTACCTTGTCTGCTAAAGGCTTTACCACATTGCTTACATACATAGGGCTTCTCTCCAGTGTGAGTTCTTTCATGTTTTTGACAATGGCTGTATGTTCTGAAAGCTTTCCCACACTGCTTACATATATAGGGCCTTTCTCCAGTGTGAGTTCTTTCATGTGTCTGACAATTGTCTTGTCTGCTGAAGGCTTTCCCACATTGCTTACAAACATAGGGCTTCTCCCCAGTGTGAGTTCTTTCATGTATTTGACAATTACTATGTGTTCTGAAAGCTTTCCCACACTGATTACACACGTAAGGTTTCTCCCCAGTGTGAGTTCTTTCATGTCTTTGACAATGACTGTGTGTGCTGAAAGCTTTCCCACATTGCTTACATACATAGGGTTTTTCTCCAGTGTGAGCTCTTTCATGTATCTGAATATCATGGAGAGAATTAAAAGTTTTTCCACATTGTATACATACACAGGTATTCACTTCACTGTGACTTCTTTCACAGATCTGAACACAGTTGGGTGCACTGAAGGCTTTCACATCTTGCTTATACACAAAGGATTTCTCTTCAGTGTTACTTCCTTCAATGCCTTCAGAGTAGGATCTTTCACATTGGTTATATTCATAAGGTTTATCTCCAGGATTTGTCTTTGTATGCTTCTGAAAGGACTGGAAGTCAGTGGAGGTTTTTCCATGTCTGTTATTAGAGAGCTTCTCTTCATATCCTTGATAGATTTTCGGTCCAGTGTTAGTCATGATGGGCACATCAGAGAATGAATGATTCATTGGTGGCTTTCGACAAGCAAGATTTTCACCTGGTTTGGTACCAACTGCTTTCATGTGCACATTAGTATCTGAAGTCCAAAAAACAGTTTCACCATGTTTTTGACATAATTTATATCGACAGCATTTCTCTACCTCTTCACTTCTGTAAAATAATAAAGATAACAAAACAAACAATCATATTAGTAAAAGTGTCTTCTTACTAATGATTTACCAGGAGGAGATCAGGTCTGATGTCTCTTAGACTACTTAATTATAAATTCACTGTATTCTCTGGATGATGCTGTGAAAACAGCTTTCAACAAAACAGTAGCAATTCACTTGGGAGTTTATAATAGAATGTTTGACATACATAATACATTCATTTTGAAAAACTGGGACATATATATTCTATATGTTATTTTTGATAATCTTTCCTCCATAACTTTAACATACCCACTTTCCACTGAGGCTTTTTATTCTTCTCCCAAATGCTTGCTTCTCTCTTTTCTACAACCTTTCCTTTATTTTATTCCTTGCTATTTTGGGTTTCTTATAAAATATATCATTTGAAATCGAAATTTCTGTGTTTCACTTATTTAACTTAATATTATGGGCTCCACCCATTTTTGGGTAAAGTGATATCGTTTCATTGTCCTTTATGGCGGAATACTGTTCAGTGTATACATGTTCCATTTTTTTTCACTGCTGGCGAGTGAACTAGAGTTTTGGCACTAAGCTACATCCCTAGTCTTATTTTTTATTTTGAGAGAGTCTCATTGGTCATCAAAGTGCCTAGGCTGAGCGTGAATGTATGATTTTGTTGTTTCAGTTTTCCAGAGTACTAGGATTCCAAGCATGTACTATCATGCCTGGCTATCTCATGTTTCCTTAATCTACTCATCTGTTTATGTGCATCTAGGTTGTTTCCAGCAGTTAGGTACTATAATTTGTGCTATTATAAACATGGGTATGCATATATCAGTGTAACATGATTACTTTATTTATTTATTTATTTTTATCGGTACTGGGGATCGAACTCACGACTGCCTGCTCGCAAGGCAGGCGCTTATGCCACTGAGCTAAATCCCCAGCCCCAACATGATTACTTTAATTTTGGAGGTTTACAGGAGAAATAATGGAATTTCTATTTTTTTTTCAAAGTAATCTCTATGCACATTTCCATAGAAGTTATTGTATATATTCCTACCAAGAATATAAAAATGTACATTGTATTTTGGAATATGAATGGATGAATGCTTTGGAAGATTGCTTGGAAACATCTATTAGCAAAACAGTGCTATTCATTTGGATTTTGAATACTTGTACAAGGTTAGCAATTTTGGAAATACTGAATGTGCATACCACATTTAAATACACACAGCACTCTTTATATAATATGTATGAAACTGGTCTTTAAAAAAAAAGTATATATATATCTATCCTGAACATGGTTTCCAATCTAAACACAAAATTTGTTTTATATACAACAATAGTAAATGCCTAAACACAATTTTATACATTTTCATAATCTTGAGCATGGAAAACAAATTTTTGTTTTTTGATGTATTTTATAACTTGTGCCATAATATCAGCATTGCTTACTTTCATACATTGGAATATATTAAATATTCAACTGTCAGGTTATAGATACTTAACATGTATGCATCTCTGGAAAAATTTTTTGAGATTAAAAACATACAAACATGGCTTCATGTTTTAATATTTCTACTCATATACTGACTTTTAAGGAACATTATTGTTCTTGTGAGTGAAAATTACCTTTCATTTTTCCTGCAAGTTTTGTACTCATTTTCAATTTGCTGGTCATCCCAGTTTTTTCCTAAAATTACAAACAGAAATGTGAAGATCAGTTACTATATTATATAAAAATTAATAGATTCATTAGAGTCATGGTACAGTGTGAACAAGCCTGGAAGATTCATATTCCAATGAAACTGCACTGATACACAATACCTAGTGCTGTCTGATTACTCTGATTACATAAATGAGAAAGTGATTTATTCCTTACCTATAGCAGCCACATTCCTAAAATTTTCCCACATCACATCTCTATAGAGCTTCTTTTGGGATAAATCCAGCAAAGCCCATTCCTCCAAGGTGAAATTCACAGCCACATCTTCAAAGGTTACTGCCTCCTAAATCGACAGATATATTTTCAGAAGAAAAGTCAGATTCACAACATTTAACATCTCTACTTATAAAAAGCTGAAATGAGACCGAGTTCTCCAAATGTTTACTTTGTATCTTGGTCATCAAACACTTATTCTCCATCCATATGCACATTTCACACAGAAATTTTCATGGTACTTTGCAAATTATTGCTAAAGAAACAATGGAATGAGAATATTGTTCTTCTGGTTAACCTCTTTTATTTGTATTTGCGAGACTCTATCAAGGATCTGCAGTGGAAAGACCAAAGATTAGTGGTGGAAACTAAAAAGTCTGCATCAATGGGAAGACAGATTTGTGCCAGCAGGCTGAAGGATCTGCAATGGAAGCAGGAAGTGATACTCAAAAGTAAGGATCAGAGTTCCTCCTCAAAAACTGAGATCTATCCTCAGTAGCAGTGAGAACCTGAGTTCCTCTGATAAGAACAGCAAAGTTCATTTCAGGAAAGCCAGCATAACAAGCTTCTCCACAAATACAGGCTTGCAACTTTGATGTGGTTGTAAGAGAAATACGTCTACTGTTAAAAATATATACAATGCAAGCAGGTTTTGAGTTTTCCAGAGCAAAAGACCAATGAGGACAGAACTGTAATAGACAGGGAAGAGGTAGGTGAAGGTGGAAAATGATAAAGCAAGGGTATTTCTTTTTGAGAATATGAAACTTGTTGGTGAGAACTCAATGGAATGGGCTCGCTAGTAGTGGGATATTGGAAGTAAGTGAAGAGGGAAGCAACTACTAAAACTTACATTCACTTTGGAGAAGAAACGGGGAGAAGGGAGAAGAATTGATTTAGGAAAGATATTACATTGGCCTATGACTATAAGATGGACTCTTGGTATCATACCATGGTAACACTACTCATTTCCTTAATCTGTCTCTTCAAAAACTTCCATCCCCAAAAGCTTGAGGGCCTGTTGACATCATAAGTCATTCATGAAAATGAGAACAAAAATTGCTTCTGTCATTGATCTTTTAACATTTGCTATGCATAATCTTCTCTGATATTTGCATCTTATTTGTTTTATAACATCCAGAATTGCATTAAGTTTCTAATCCCTGTAACTTCTCAGTGTGAATTACAAATTAGCACAGGAATCCCTGAGGAAACATTAAGTCATAAACAAGACTTAACACTGCTCAACATACAATACTTCCTTATGTAACTGACATGCTCTGAATGGCTAAGCTTTCACAAATTTCTTGTTCTGACTCCTTCTCCCCGACACGGTGGTATGAGATGGTGGAGACATTATGAATGAATAAAGCCATGAGGTCAGAACCTTCAACAATGAGATACATGCACATGTAAGACACCAAACTTTCTGGTATGTGAGGACATAGACAGAAGGCATCATCTATACTTTATTAGACATTTAAACTGTGCATGCCTTAATCGTAATATTCACTAGCCTTCAAAATTATGAACTATAAATGATTGAATTTTCAGACACATTTATAGCCATAGTTATTTTAAATTTCCCTAATCTGACAATTTTAAATTCATTTCAGTGAGCAAAACGGTCAAGTAAAACTGTATATACTGAAATTGTAAAATTAAATGTGTCAATATTGAGAAATAATTACCATAATTGTCTAGTTAGCATATCTGTCAACTAATAGTTACTCTTCAGTATGGGTAAAAACACTAAAAGCTACTGTCAGCAATTCCAAATCTATGTAGGGTAGTGTAACTTTTACCATACTCACCAGATCACCAGAATCTGTTCGTACTGTGTAAAACATATATTGCACCTTTTCATTAATCTCTCAGTTTTCAAACCCTCACACAAGTCAACCACCACTAAACTCTCTGCTTCTGTTTAATGGATTATTGTAGGTGCTCAATACAAATGTGATGATTTTTATGCTTGGAGTATTTAATTTAATGATCTCCATTAATATACATTGTTATAAAATGGACGATACCCTTTTTTTGAAACTAAATATTGCATTGTATAATAAACCACATTATTCATACGTATTTGAAAATTTTATAGAATGAAATAGCCTCAAAATGTCATGTTCTGTAGGCTTTGTTGTAAGGTTCTATAGCTTTGCTGCAAGGTTTTGAGGTTAGCCATAATAAGCTGACTCTGCTCTGCTTGTAATTAATTAATGTTTTTACAGGAAGGTTGCTAAAAATATCCTCTAAAATGGTACCTTCCATTCTTGCACCCTCGACCCCTCTTTCCTTCGTGAAATGAGGGTAACTAGGTTTCCTCATCATGTCCTTATGTAATGGTATATCTATCTGCCTTTCAACAGGACTACAAGGAATGAAGCAATCTGGACAAGGACTGAAACCTCTGAAACTGACTCGAAGCAATTCTTTCCTTTTAAATTATGTCAGCTATATTTTTCTTAGCAACTAAAAAGTCACTAACCGAACCACTGAAGTGGATTTACAGTTTTTGTACCATAAATATATATTTTAAAATTCTGAAATCTTTATTTTTTTATTTTAAAGAGAAGAGATAACAATGAAACAGTTTCAAATCAGATTAGGACAGTTACAATAATTAATACATTGCATATTGTTGTCTTTGTAATAGTTATTCACAGTACAAGTAGGCATGATATCTTGTCCAAATAGTATTAGCACAAACCTTTCTTTTCAACAAACTAAGAAAAACTAGCTTTATAACTATCTTATCTTGTGTGTATGTATTTTTTTCTTTTTCCTTTTCTTTGTTTCCCCTTTCTCCCATCACAATTTGTCTTTTCATCTGAAGTTCCTTCCCAGTTCACAATAGTTATTGTATATTTTGGATTTTATTTACTTATTCAGTTTCTCACAATAAGACAATATGGTGTTTATACATATGCATCTAATCTATTTCACTTACAAGTATGGTCTCAAGTTGCATCCATTTACCTTTAAGTTTCCAGCTTATCCTTCTTAATAGCTGATTAGTACTCTATTATATAAAAATACATCTTTTTTATCCATTTCTCAGTGGATGGGCATTTGAGTTGTTTCCAATATTTAGCTATTACAAATTGTGCTGCTATAAACATGGGTGCACATATATCACCATGGTATGACGTTTTCAATTCTTCTGGGAAGAATGCAAGAAGGGGAATATCTGGGTTGAATGGGACTTCTAATCCTAGTTTTCTAAGGAATTGTCACTTGATTTCCACAGTGGTTGTCCCAGTCTATACTCCCACTAACAGTGGAGAAGAGTTCTTTTTTCCCCCAGCCCCACCAGCACTTGTTATCAGTTGATTTTTTGATGATAGCCATTCTTATTGGGATGAAATGAAATCTCAGCATTTTAACTTGCATCTCTCGAATGACCAATGATGTTGAACATTCTTTCATGTATTTATTTGCCATTTTTATTTCTTCATCTGAAAAGTATATGTTCATTTCAGATGCCCATTTTTGGATTCGGTTTTTGAATGGGGAGGGCATGATTTTTTCCAATGCTTTATATGTTCTAGATATGTCCTTTTTCTGTGGACAACTGGCTATAAGTTTTTCCCAATCCGTGAGTTGTCTTTTCACTGTTGGTGATTTCTTTTGTTGTGCAAAAGCCTTTTAATAAGGCAAGATCCCAGTTGTTGATTCTTTGTAATATTTCCTTTGCAGTCTGGGTTTTGTTCATGATATGTGAATATTAAGAATTATTTTTTCAGTGCAAATGGGAATACAAGTATGTCTTTTTAAATTTTGATTTCAGTGAATCAATTTCAATTCAACACAATGGTTTTTTTTCCCTCCTTAAATGTTTTAATAATGTTGTTGAACCCAGATCATGGCATACCCTAGGCAAGGCTCTGCAACTTATTTACTATCCCTAGGCCTCAATGTCACCATTGTATATTAGTGTATCTGCTAAGAAAAATTCAATGCACAGTCCATGTCCTTTTCTAAATACCGTGTTCAAACTCAATAAACTGCAAAGAAAAGGGTTTAATTTGTCTCACAAAATCATGAAAGGCAGGCCAAACACACCATGGTTTTGCTTAAATTGTCTCACACTGGTATTTCCTCCTCTTATTTGAAGAACAGAATATTTGCAGTGCTGTGTGTTGCACTGATACTGAGCAAGATTTGACTCATTTTCATTCATGTCTTTCTACATACCACAAAAAAAACTAGCTTCTCTCATCAACAGAAAACTATGCTTTTCCTCCCTGCTAATTTAAAATTTAGTAAGTTTGCTTTGTACTTATTTCTATCTAGTAAAAAAGAGGACATATGTCTGTTTCTTTATCTTAAGAATGGAACTGCCGACAGTGGTGGCTCACGCCTGTAATCACAGCACTCGGAAGCTGAGGCAGCAGGATTGTTGTGAGTTTGAGACCAGCCTAGGCTACAAAGTGAGCTCAAGGCCAGCCTGAACTGCATAGCCAGACCTTACTGCAAAAAGACCAAAAAGAAAAAAAAAAAAAAAAAAAGAATGGAACTAAAAATCCGATGTTTCTTGAGATGAAATATCCATTTATTTAAAGCTCTTAAAACTATTTCACTAGTCATCAATTTTATTTGTGACAGCACAATAAAAAGTCATTAGTAGGACAAGGGCGAGTGGGAGGCAGAAGCGAAAGGATCACCGCAAGTTTGAGACCCAGCTGAGCTATACGGTGAGCTTAGGTCCAGCCTGAACTACACAAGCCAAGACCACGTCTCAAAAAACAAACAAACAAACAAGACAATAGCCATAAAGACACACAGTAGCAATTGTTAGAGAGGCTGTAGAGAAAAGTCAAGCCACTATTGAGAAAATAGAAAACATAGAGATAAACCTTTTGCAAAAGCAAAGGTGACTAAGAGATGGAGGGAGGTGCTAAACAGGGTGAGAGAATGGGAGAGGAAATGAATAAACTGCCACCATGAATATAATCTTTGTATACTGCAAACACGTGCAAATAAAAGCAAAAATTAAGTAGATAAGAGTGACAGCCATGTTAAGAACATACCCATTCAGTATCTACATAATGAAAATTTCTTTTTTAT